CGGGGGGGGGCAGCCCGCGCTGCCGCCTTCCTGCGGGCGCAGTGGCGGTTCGCGGACAATTTCCGCCGCTTTTCCCGGCGCCTTTGGGCTCCAGACGGGCACCGCGGGCACCCGCGGGGGGCTCCCGGCCGCATCCGTCCGATGAGGGAGCAAGAAACTCAAAGGCGTCCGCTTAAATCCGATTTCTCTCCTGTTCGGGCGAGGTGTCCATAATTCTTTGATTGAAACTCGAAAGATAAATCAAAACGGACCTTAATAGACTAGGTAAAATATCCCCGCGCGCGTTCGTAAGCACATAATAATCCCAGGCTGCAGAGATAATCACGCACGCTGTTCACCATCTGTATCTTTTGGAGCACAGAAAAAAATGTCGCCATTTTGGTCTCATGCTGAAATATTATCAATCTTTGGGCTTTATCTAGTTCCAAGAGCCATCCTTGCCTGATGTTGCAACATTGTCATGCGGCCATGAATCTATATAGAGCTTTTCTGCATAAATAGATAAAACATGTCCAAAGAAAGGGATTGCAAATATATTTATACCACGTTGTTTATTTTAGATATCGGTAGGTAGCCATTGTGGGAAGGGTTATTTAGTCTGATATTTGTCACTGAAACGTAATTATTACTCAATGCAAACCACCGACAGATTATCATTTTCACAGGAGAACAAAAGTGCTTTTTTGGCAGTTGATGCGAGATCATAAAATCTTTCAAATAAGCGCACTTTATATATTTGAGAATAAAGCTCAAAACAACTTCCCCCTCCCCCCGCCTCTCGTATTAGTTACGTTACATAAAACAAAAGGTAACGGTGCAATCGGTGAATATTTAATGCGTTAGTTTAACGTTAGCACTACGAATTACCGTTGCAGAAAAAAAAAAAAGGGGATTTCATTCCATTCGCCCCGCACACTCTGAAGAAAGAAAAATACAGGCAATTTTGTCTCTCCCCTCCTTTTTTTTTTTATTTTTCAGAAAAAACACCCTACCCCATTTTCCCAATCTGTACATTACATACAAGAATCTGTATCTTTGCATTAAAATTCGACCGATTAACAGATCTCTCTGGAGGCAGAAGTAATTGATTTGCCCAAGAATTTCGCGTCCCCTCTCCAAAGGTTTTGTTCCAGGTGGTTTTTGTATTAGACTAACCACAAGAAACAAATGTGCAGAATAGAGACACCCACACAGATTTTACTCACAAAGCCTGGTTAGAGTCCAAACCTCTCTCTTTATTATTTGTCATCCTGCTGTTAATCCCAATATTTTCCAGAAAAATAAAATAAAATAAAGAAAAAGTAAAGCCTGAACCCAAGGTAGGCACTGAGAAGTAAAATAAAAACGGACTCTTCCCACAGGCAGGAGAATCGTCCTCTGCCAGCATATTTTAAAAACATTTTTTTCTTGTTTACTTGCGTTTCTTGCTCTGCCTCTTTTCTCGGCCACATTTGATCTTGGAAAGAGCAAGAAGCTTTAAATGTGTTCTTAAGGGCCAGTAGCTGTCAAACCTTTTGGCGGCCAAGATTGATCGCGCGCAGACACCACCAGAGCTTTGTTTGGACTAAAAGCAAGAAAATTAACCCCCTTGCATTTTCCAACAGCATCGATATTTGTAAGGCATCCCTTTTGAGGGATTAAATGACAAGTCCCGTTCTATATTTTATTTAAACAAGCAACCACCAAAAAGCCCATTTAATGCCTCCCAGCCCCTCCCCTCCCCCTCTCTCCAATGCCTTCACAGATATGCTACATTTTGTGCGTGCATTAACTTAAAACTGATTTTTAAATGCACTTCGCGCAGTCTGGATGTAGACTGATCCGATGAGTGCTTGGGGTCTCCTTTTTTTCTTCTTCTTCTCTCTCTCTCCTTTTTTTTTTCCCTTTTTTTTTTCTTCTTTTCCCTTTTTCTTCTTTTCTCTCTCTCTTTTATTTTTTTATTTTTTTAAAAGAAGACGCCTGCCGATCCTTTAATGGCAACTCCGAAAATAAAGAGAAGCCAAGGCATCGCTCTGGCCATGGTGCCCGGCTGCAGTCGCTCTCCCGCTCGCCTCGCTTTGCTTGGAAAACAAAACAAAAAATATCGTGTCCGAACCATCCCGACTGGTGACTTGCCTCGACGGTGAGGGGCGGCGAGGCTGGCGAGGCGAGTGCCCTGCCTCAAGGTACAAACCCGCAGCATTCTCGCTCTGCTTAGCCCCGTGAAAACGAGTCCGCTACCAGCCCATATATTTCTTGGTAATCGAAAATACTCACCAGACCCAGCCTACCACGGTTATTAAGCAAATTATGCCAGCAGACGGGAGTATCGTTTGCAAGCTAAGGTACAGGATTTTTTTTTTTTTTAAGAGGCAGCAGCCAGGCGCTTTTGAATCTTCGCGATTTGGCTCGCCCCGAGAGATACTCCTAGGATATGTTTTACGGTCCAATCCTGGGAAGCCAACTGGAGAGGGAAGTCATGAAGCACAAGGGCTGCTGCCTGTGTGACTCTCCCCCTAGA